CCTTTCTAAATCCATGAGATCTTTTTTATAGAGGAGCTTTTAACGTCCATACTCTATGTCAAATTGGCAAACAGGCAATGCTTGTTGAAACCCTGTACTCCCTTAAAATTGATGTATGCTGTGTCTCCGAAACACGCATACAAGACCCGAGCGTGGTTATGCATCTCAGAACGCTAAGGATGAACTCAGCACATTCATATTTCTCCCTCCGTGTGTCCGGTGACCCAAAAGCGATGACTCGCGTGAAAGCTGCATTCAGCCCCAGAACTGAACGCGCTTTGCTGGATTGGATCCCAGCGAACAGTCGTCTTTGTGCCAGCCGGTTATCAAGTTCAATGCCTCTCGAAATAAAAAGCGGTCTGCTTGTAGCGTCGGTTATGCCCCAATGGACCGCAGCTCTGATGCTGAGAAGAGTGCTCCCTATCAAGAACTATCTGGGCTCGGTCGTCAAGCAAAAAGCACTGACATTATGATCCTTGCAGGCGATTTGAATGCTCGAGTGGGTCGTCTGAGGTCCTTGGAATCATATTTGGGCGGTAGATTCAGAGTCCATGCTTGCCGCGCAGCCAACGGAGATCATGAACTGTTTCTAGCAAGTACGAACTTTCAACATAAAAGTTCGCACTGCGTAACCTGACGACCACTAACTGCAACTCAACCGTGGACCCAGTTGGACCACGTGGCCATCAGCCACTGGTGGAGAGCCACAATTCGACTATCGTTCTTTCTGGGGCACACCACTTGATTCCGATCACGCTATGGTGCGTGCACGCCCAACAGTTCGCTTCCCTTCAGGCCATCGCAAGTTAGCAAGAGGCATGCCAACCCACTGTCTTCGAAAAATTATCATAGCTCAACAGTAGCCCAACAACTCTCCACAGTAAACCAACCCTGTGGTGGCAGTGAGCATGTGGATGAAGTGCGGTAAAATGTGAAAAGAGCTATGTTAGCGGTGTTCAGTGCTGCCTGCCCGACCTCTCCAATTCGACCACAAGACTACTGGATGTCGCCGAGGTGGCTATCCATGGTTGATGCCAGGAAAAGTGCGCGGTTCTTACAGCTGACAATGATGATGACGACCTTGCTTTCCATGGACTTCATAGTGAGCATGCTGCGACCGATTAGCGCCTGCTATGCTGAGATATTTCGGTCAGAGGCCAAGCCATACAACCCTTAGGAGATCTCTTACAGAAGTTTTGTATACACTCGCTACTGATGCCAAAGGTGATACAGGCTGGCAAATACTTATCTTGCCTTGGTGGTGAATGCATTGACTTCGTGCCATGGAAGGTGGTGACTGGGACGAACTCTGGACCACTATTATGGAGCGAAAAAGTTGGGGGACTACGGCAAATCAAGGAAGAAAGCTGAGTTTTTTGGTAGATATTACAGCCGGAGTTCTAAGACATGTGGGGAAACCGGAGTGAACTGTAAAGAAACAGTGGGATTAGAAGCAAACAAATGCAGAAATATTCCTGTCACTGTGATTCGAAATCTCCTTGGAATAAAAATAGGGGTAGAGTATGAGACAGTAATCACCAGAGGCTTGTGATCCAGGCTTGATTCCAGATGACGCACCATACAGTTGATCAGCTTCGTGAGGAACCAAAGTACCAATGTATTCCTTGATGGCGTGGTTGCACGAGTTCCGGGCAAATATATCCGAAAAGTGTTTGGAGATGTGTATCAACCAGTAGTCATTTAATTGTTTCTCTGTACGCACGGCACGGACAAGCGTGGTGAAGTCATCCCGAGGTGAATATTTGCCAGACTTAAAAAGGTAGCATGACACTAAAACACACTACCATCATTTTCGACGAAAGCTGACAATTGATAAGAATCACTCCAACTGATGGAGCAATAGCGCCACAACATTCTGAGACAAAATTGTTTTATATGGATTAAACCAATCCAAAGATAAATCAAGAGATAATTGGAAGAGAAATTGGAACCGTAGCTTCACCCATTCTCGCTTTTGGAGGTGTTAGCACAGATCACTTCACCGGAAGAGTCTCAACTTGAGCACGGAAACCGACAGAGCATGCTTCGTCGAAGTGTATGACATACAGCATGAAGGTTCATCAGAGAACAGGTGATGTGTCCTTTGCTGCCGTGTGGCTGTGAAATTTTATACAGGTAGTGGAGAACCAAAGAGCGTTTATGCATTATATGCTCGAGATGTCGACTAGCCTTCAATGAGGCGTGCAGCCAATTCTCAGGATCAAACGAAGATTACTTCTAGGCTTAACCCAATGTAGCCATTCTCAGTCCAACTAAAGCAAGGATGAACGATAGATGGTGCAGGGTCCTTGACACCTACAGATAAGGACGGTGACAAAACAGCAGCAAACGTCCAGTCAGATGACACCCGGCTCATGAGTAGCACCTCCCATCCAACCTATGGTTTGAACCCACCATCTATCCCCGCTAACTACAGACATCAAGTATGAGCTGAGGCTCCCCGAAAAACGCAAGCTGAAACCGGATATGCCACCAACGGAAGGCAAAAGTACAGGGCTAGTTGCCTTGGAGGATGTGAACGATCGATCAATTAAGGTAGGCCACTTCCTGCAGAACCCGTTACTAACCTTCGTCCAGAAAAGTGAGTCTGACGGCGAGCTTTGGAAAGTGCTTGCTATAAGTAAGGGTTCCTGAATCCTGTAGATATACTGTAGCGGATCGACATTTCTTCGTATCCCGTACCAAAATCCTTCAGAATACAGAAAATGCGTGCTTTAGTTCACGGGTGTTAAAGAAAAGCCAAAGGATACTGACTATCACCCCTTGGATCCTGAGTAGTTCTGGAATCAGCGGGTAGTCACATTATACGACAACCATACCCTACACACTTGGATCTGCAACCTATGGAACCATGGGTGTCCGCCGCAAGCTGTGATCCGAAACTAATGGGACAAGGATGAAGGTGCTCACGACGGTTCATCATATCCGTCCTCTGTAGAACGCTTGAACGTCTGGAGGGAGGATTCGAAACTGAATCGATGCAAGGTGAACTTAAGAGGATTCGTGTACGTTGGCGCAGTTGATGAAAAATCAACGGACTATGGTCACCAGCACGGTCCGGTATTCGACGTGGAGGATGTATATTTTGAAACGAAAAACTTGTGGTGGCAAACACGGCCTGATGTTCGGCAGGTGAGTCAGTGGTTGACGCGTTGAACTAATAGACAGTCCACAGTACGGTTGTGGTGGCAAACACGGCCTGATGTTCGGCAGGTGAGTCAGTGGTTGACGCGTTGAACTAATAGACAGTCCACAGTACGGTTGTGGTGGCAAACACGGCCTGATGTTCGGCAGGTGAGTCAGTGGTTGACGCGTTGAACTAATAGACAGTCCACAGTACGGTTGTGGTGGCAAACACGGCCTGATGTTCGGCAGGTGAGTCAGTGGTTGACGCGTTGAACTAATAGACAGTCCACAGTACGGTTGTGGTGGCAAACACGGCCTGATGTTCGGCAGGTGAGTCAGTGGTTGACGCGTTGAACTAATAGACAGTCCACAGTACGGTTGTGGTGGCAAACACGGCCTGATGTTCGGCAGGTGAGTCAGTGGTTGACGCGTTGAACTAATAGACAGTCCACAGTACGGTTGTGGTGGCAAACACGGCCTGATGTTCGGCAGGTGAGTCAGTGGTTGACGCGTTGAACTAATAGACAGTCCACAGTACGGTTGTGGTGGCAAACACGGCCTGATGTTCGGCAGGTGAGTCAGTGGTTGACGCGTTGAACTAATAGACAGTCCACAGTACGGTTGTATCTTAAAGTAGCTTCTGGAATAAAATGTCCAGATGTCCCAAAGCCACTTCATAAGTGAAGTTTGTTTGGAGGACTGAGCCACGTATACTACAAATCTGACTGGTGGTTCTCCGGGGAGAAGAAACAGAGAAGGGCGTATCTGAACACAAACCTGATTCCTAAGACGGAAGATGCAAAGGAAAGTGTCACCGAAAAACTGATGAGAGGATCTACGGTCACCGGAGAATAATGTCTGTGAAGAGCAAGACAGACCAGTTAGAAAAAGAGGGCGATGGGCTGAGCTAAAGCTTCCTTTTGAACTACGATTTCTAGTAAAACCTTGGGTACGTGCGAAGAACGAGTATTCCGCTTGTTATGCTTGACACTTGCTTGAGGTGAGTCAGCAACTCAACACAGGCGGTTGATGGAAAGCCATTTGAAGCACCAAAAGTCAGTGGTTCGGAGTAGGCGACCTACCGCTTACAACTGCTATCTCCTCGAATGAGAAATCACGAAGGCAGTAAATCTGTTCAATGTCACTAGTAGTTCCGTCACGTATCCAGCGGTGTTTACCACTACAAACCAGTGGAGCCTTCAGTCACCACCACCAATCAGTGAATTTCTCCTTCTTATACTCTACGGAAGGAACTGCGGCAACAGCATATTGTTTATGGTTGACTAACCCATTCGTACTGAAACTACACACGCAGTACCGTAAGGGTGGTGACAAGCCTGATCAGACGATTGAGGTTACCTTTAACTGGTCGAGAATAGGAAATCGTCACTAAAGTCGAGGCGAAAGTGTGTGTTGAATGATTTTATACATTTGAGTAGAAGAAATTGCACACAACAACTATGCACCAGTGTACCGTAAGTGGGACCGTGTTGATGAAATCAGCCTTCAAAAAGCTTAGTTAGTCTTATCCAGCGGGGGAATCCAAAATGACTACGCTTTTAGCTGGCCATAGAGCGTTCAGAAATTTGAGCGCTTCAGGTATAGAATGTGGGAGACTAACCGAGTGGGGATTCCTCAACGGTTCCGCTTTTCTTAAACGATTCGGCAGAATGCGGGACGTCGTCAAAATCCAGTAGGTTTCCACGGACGCAGTGAAGAATGAAAGCAGTTATTATCTCCAGAAGATTGGACACAGATCTCCTGGAACCCCTTAAAACCTCCCGAGGGTCGATATGGTCCAACTCAATACCGATTTCGGAAGAGAGTATTTTCAATACGGACACCAAATTCTCATTGTAGTGGAGGAAGCAAGAGGCGCGCGGGTAAGGTACTGTGAGAAAATAAATTTATGGACAAAGATTTACATATATCGGATCCGAATAATTCAACAGCCAAGCGGATAATGAAGCTCGCTGAAACCTCAATCGGTTTTGTCAGATAGGGCTCCTTTTTAAGGAGCTTCAAGGCATAATTTGCGACGCTCAAAAGTCCTTGAATTATAGTAAAGTGGCCGAATACCATATACCTTCATCAGACTCCAGTGATATATCATCACGAAGGATCATTCGGCTGGGTCGTGCGGCCCCGGACACCTACAAATGCGGGAAACCGGACAAAGACGCCGGTACTTTCAAATTCAAATTGCCGCTCTGTCCGACTGGGTGTTCAGTATTCGCACAATGGAATGGAAATGTCGAAAATAATCACGTATCAAGCAACCAGGCAATTGAGTACAGAGTACCAGTCCAAACATTTGATCCCCATTTAGGCATCCCGGGGTCTTAGCGATGCTGGGAAACTATTCCACCGGGTATTTTCCACCAGGGGTATTATTGCATCAGTGAACAATGAACTCTGGTGAGTTGCAAATACATGGACGTCGAGTGGAGTGGTTTTTGGTTTGAGCACATACGCAGCAAAATGCAACATTCTGGCGCGGAAAGATTTGCTCAACTCTTGAAGTTTCTGCAGCTACGGGCAATTTGCGGCTAATCGGCTCCAACCTCCTGAGGATTTAAGACACCCAGAGCAGGATCCGAAGGTGTATGGCACAGATCCATGGGAGGAGTCACCTCGCCAAGCAGAACGCCTAGTTTCTTGCACAGCACAACGTTGTGAATCAGCATGTTGAGAAAAGAGGGAGATCACATCTCCTCGGCAAGGAAGTAGTCATCCGCACTAGCGCAAATTCTGACTGCATGAGAGAGAATAGTTTGGCGTCACTTATGGCAAATCTGGTAGGCTACGCAAATAATCAAGGTGTGATCGTGAACGAAACTGAAAATAATTGAGGAGCGACAAAGAAGGGCTGGAAAAGGCGGAGAACCGGGGATTTCACGGGTTGACAGATTCAAGGATTCGCGGAATGATACGCAGGATCGGGGCCTTCTCGCATGTTTCCCGGTTAAAGTTTGTTCTTATGCTTCAGCGGCTTCTGTCCACCTGAAGCACACAAAAAGGTAAAGCAATGCTCTTCATGGTGTTGGCACCGCTACTGAGGTGCTTCACTTCTTACCACACAGGGAGAACCCAGGCCACAAAGATCAGGGATCTTTCCTAATCACCCCTTCACAGTACCAGCGGAGTTATTCTGGGTAGTGTGCTTGGCCTCCTATTATTTTACTTTACATTAATAACGTCGCGGATTCGATCACCCGTGGACCCCCGTTTCTGTTCTCTGATGAAACAAATGTAGCTTACATGTCCAAGGCCAGTGAATCCGTTTCTACTCTCACTAACAGTGGGACGTGAGTTCTTTATCCCTGTGGTCATCTACCCCCCCCCCCGTCTTCCTTTCGCTGATCGAAAATGCTAGGCCCTCTCACATCGATTCCAAGTTCCTCCTGGGGTGCTTGCTTTTAGTGGACTCAACTCCTACTCCTCCCGAAGTGAGAGAACTGGGTGTTAGTTATTCCCCACATTTGGCTTCAATCAACATGCAAATTGCAGAGTGGCTAAAGCTCGCAAGCTCTGCGCTTACATTCACCGATTCTTACGTAATAAATCATGTTTAATTGCCATTTTGTAATTGCCGACTTGTAAGACCTACTCTTGAATCCAGTCCTGAATTCGTCCCGCAGTATTCGCAGGCATGCCGGACCACTGTGGAGAATATGCAGCACTTATTTACTAAGTCCTTGTTTCCGACATCATCCACACTACCGCAACGTCTTCGCTCTTTGTCACTTGGATCCATTATAGCTAAAGCGCATCAGGTTGAATCTGCATCACCTTATCTACCGGCAGCCTTACATAGCTGACTGGTGTCCCAAATTTTTCTCCTGTACTCCCTATAATATCCGCGACTCTGGATGTTTACCTCCATTGCCAAAATGTCGAACTGTCTCTAGGGAAAACTTTTCCGTTTGCCTGTATCCCAAATTTTTCTCCTGTACTCCCTATAACTTCCACGACTCTGGTAGTTTACCTCCGTTGACAACATGTCGAACTGTCTCTAGAGATAACTTTTCCGTTTGCCTGTGTTCCAAACTGTGGAACAAGCTCCCCTCCCGTATCTGTATATCTCATTTCATGTGGGCTTTTGAAACGCCTTCGATTGTTACCTTTCATTTGAGCGATTGGAGCGCCTTTTCGCGCCACAGCTTACACTAGACACTTTTTGAAATAGGCCCTAAGCCCCTCTAATTCGCCCACTCACCCTGACTGTCTTGTTACTAGGCCCAAGCTTGTACGCTCACAGCCAGAACCCCGTAACATTAAACCACAATTTTGACGACCAACCTCCCAAATGACCTTGTCTATAATTACCACTTATCTATCTCTTACGCAGATGTCCACTTCTTGTGGCTGCATCGGTTTTTCTCTCTGGAGCGTCGTTGTGTCACAAGGTGTCTAGTGCCTTCCATCGCAACTGTGGTCAAGCCACAGACCTGGTTGTATTTCCTTCCTCCGGCCTCAATCTTTTGAATCCAGCCAAATTATTCCTAGTCGTTGAAGCCTGGTCCCATCCCTGAATAATTTCAGCTCTATTTAATATCTGGTGCTTTACTTTGACTGGATTTAACTAACTTCAGTGAAACCGAAGCCTTAGTTCCTCGCTGATATGAACCATTCTGCATCCCCTGATTACGCGGAGTACGTGTATATCAAATGTGTGTATGAAGATGTGTAATGAATGAAATACTTGTTTGGTTCCACAAACTCCCTCATTCACACACACAACACTGGTGCGCCTCTACTTGACAAGGCAGTTCACATCAATGCCTCGTCTTCGTTTAACCATAGTACACAGGCTCAGAAAGTCTCCATTCTACTCGTACGTTCGTGCACTCGCCACCCATCCAGTAGCATGAGTGCGTCGCTCATCGCCGATGGTTCTAAGCCTAGCCTTTAACTTAGATAAACCGAAAAAGGGCACCGCTGTTTTTTGTCTTTAGCTGGACTGAAATTGTTCCGGTTGTCACATTTCTTGCAATTCAAAGAAATACTTGCAAATGACAGCCGTCCTTTCGTTTGTTTTAAAATATATATGCATGGGATAGCCTGAGGGTACTGTGTTAGGCCCACGGCAAACCTCGACGTGCAGGGAGTTGCCACCTTCGCATTAGCTGGGTTGCACCACCACTAGTCCACTTCATCATCCAAACAGCACACACGTTCTTCTCTCGTCCTATAGAGCCATAATATGTACAAGATCCAAACAACTTATTAGTTCCTGATTACCAGCATCAGAGGTAGCGCGTAATGGCAGTTTTAGCTATGCATCATTCGCTTTCTGGAGTTGGCATCAGTGACTCTGCGACTGGCGATCCTTTCCTTACCTTCATGTTGAGCTGAATTAGCACATACGGGCTAAGCTACTGTTCGTATTCATTATCTGGGAAGATGTTGCCTGACCGCTTTTTCACTTGTCTACTATCACTGCTCACATCGCCATCTCTTTTGCACAACGGAGACCCTATGTTCGGTTTCCTTTGGTGCACTTAAAACTACTACCCGTTCCAACTAGCAAAACGGCTGGCATCCCTACTAGCCACCTCGACGACAAAGCCTTTACCTTCACAAAACTAGACCACTTGAGGCACAAATAGCACTAAGATTCCAAATCAGGAAGCAAACCCACTCCTGGGTCCACTTAGCTTGACACCATTGTATCTGATGCCTCCTGGCACTCACCAGATGCTACTGCTCTCATCCTATTCATTCCTCATTTCCTCTCTTCCCAAGCCTCTGACTTCTGCTGCAGTCGCCCAAGCGCCCCGTACAACTGTTATTCATTATTTCTGGCTTGTACCCGGTCTACACTCACATGTTTTTCTAACCGAAGGGAAATTATCCGTGACTCTTCATTGACTTGACCCCATTTGATCAATCTCCTCGCCTAACCCACATCCGGCTGCCACGGAAACGCGTAACCCCCTCCGAGCAAAGCAGCCTTGATGACCGTTACGGGACTGTCCATAAACCAAAGTACGTCAGTGCAATGATGGCACTGTCATACCCAGTGTGATGGCTGTGGCGTTTTTGTACCTTTATTTTACTTCCATAATAACACTAGGTATTTCATCAATTGCATAATCGTTTTTTGTTTGAATACGAGAAACTACAAAAAACGCGCCCTTGTACAATTTCACAGAATACAAGCGTGGTCACGTGCTTCAACTCTCTCTTCTGATTTCGCTCGCGCTTGCAGCGGTCATTCGCGAGTCTCATGTACTAACTCTGGTACCCAAAACATTTCAGCCTATCTTCGGAGTCTATTATGTGTGCAAACTGTTCAGAAGAAGACCTCTGGACAAACACTATTGGATTATTGTTTATTCGCTGACCTGGGCCAACGACGAACTATTTTAAAGAGAACAATTGTTAGTGTTTCCATTCCCATCTTTGCTTGTTGTAACACCGGCCATTCATTCAACCGCGCAAGGTCACTCATGGCTGGCAATGGTTTTCAGTTTTAGTTCATGTCAACCAGCCTCATCTTTGACACAGTCGGACCTTATGCTCAATGTTCCTTACAAGTTGAGGAATGAACCTATTATTATTCCGTCGGATATTGCCCACTGTTTATATCACTGCCCTCTTTTCGCGTAATCTACACTACCAACAAATCTCTCGGTCATGCATCATTTGAATGTAAACTCTGATCATGCCAGACGGTAAACCACACACAAGTTAGGGAAAATCATTAGTATTATTATCTCGCCACCGCCATCACTCAACTAAAAGGGTGCCTAAAATTGCTACATACTGGGTACCAGAAACAGAAGAATTAGTTAATGAAACATGAACATTTTTTGTTCATTAAAAGTGTGCATTTTGAGCTTGAAAACCTTCTTACCATGTACCCACCGTGTGTAAGTATGAGGCCTCCTAGTAGGCAGCGATACTCCGGGGGGGAAGGTTAAGCAACGCGGACCATATTCCATAGTCCACGGGTTTTGGGTCGGTAGCAAGTCTCATAGCGGATCGGTAGACACGCTCAAGGGGGTTAGGTGTTTCTTGCGTCCCAAATGGACTACTTGTTTGGCATATTCAAGAAGCGGTCTGATGTAGGCCCA